TCTTGCTCGGGCAGGGTCGCCTAGGAAACGGGCCAGGGGCGCGCCGACCGAGCCTCCCTATGGCCGCGGTTGTGAGCCAGGCAGGGGCAGAGAGCTGTGAGTGCGAGCGCGCCCCCCCAGATGTTGCGCCCGGTGCGGCCGGCCCGGAAAAAGGTGCCGGAACGCGGTTCCGCCGCGTTCCGGCTGAAAAAAAGCCCTGTATATATGCAAGAAAAGTTACTCCTTTACCCCTGTTAATTATTTGTTAATTAAAAATATCTGAAAAACATCCATGGAAGGCAAGGATTAGCGTTTTGTCAACCTAGAAAATTCATAAGAAATGAAAATAGGAGAATGAAACTGGCAGGCAAGAAATGAAACCAGAATCAAATTAAAGTTTCTTTCATGACCATCCTCAAAAACTAAGTCCTCTTCTTATGGCTTACCATTAGCACAGGGATTGTTGGTGCACCTGTCTTCTTTTTTCTCACAGTTGGATCCAGTAAATCCCATGGGGCAAAGGCATGCATAGCTGGTTCCTTTTTCTTTTTCCAGGCATGTTCCACCATTAAAACATGGAGAGTCAAGACAAGTCAAGGTAGTATGCTCACAGTTGATGCCATCATATCCTGGGAGACATGTACATTGGTATTCGTTTCCTAAATCCTATAGGAATAAGCAAACAATATATCAAATTTAGTTCCATGAAACAGCAGTTGTTTTCAGACTACAGCTATTTTTGCATTTAAGTCAGAGCCAACTCAGATAGATGAAGCTAGATTACATGGGCACATCTAATAGTTTAAAATAATTAATATACAAATAACTGCCTAACAATGATATACTTATGGAGATCCAGAAATCAGTTTTAATGACTCTATTGATTCACACATAATCCTATGACAAATAATTGATTGTATTTTATCTATATTAAGATGTGATTGTGATTAGATGAAGGGACCATTATATTGTGTGCAAATCCTCTGCTGTGAATGTAAAGGTAAAAATTCTAAGTTTCTGTAAATCAGAAAAATTGATATCTTAAAGTTACATGAAAGTACTTAACACTAAATTCCTATCAATGCAGGAAATAAATGTTTTTAATGCTCAATTTACACTTGACCATTGCTGTAGATTATTTATTTAGCTAATATTTAATATTCTAAATGAATACTGCTGCAAGAATAGTAAATTAGATACTCTACTGTCTTTTCAAAGACAAATTATTGGACATAACATCCTTCAGACGTTGGGATGTCACTATTCCCCCAGTTATTACTAAGCTGCGTAGCAGAATCATAATATATGCAGGAATTGTTCGAGTTTTTTTAAAAAAACCTGCAAACTAGCAAAATAAAATTGGACTAAAATATAACTGACATAAAATATGAAAGGTCCCATGTAGACCGAAGGAGGCACACAAAGAGAGACAGTTACTGTTATTTAGTAGCACCTTCCCCAGTGCCAGGAAAATAATTGTAATAGAAACTGTGGGGTTTGTGTGTACAGCTCCCAAGGCTTTCTGTAACACAGCAAGAATGCTCCCATTTTTGCATCATTTAGATGTGCAACACTTTTTGCAGGCCACAATATTTCTTTGCCTTTTTCCCCTTCTCCAGTAATTAGGAAGAAACTCCAAGATGGTTCACATCACTTAGTCTCTGGTGTGAAGCTTTGGGGTAAGCAATGGCTTTTGGAGGGACTCCTATTTCATCCCATCTCCTGGCTTCTGGGATATTCCTCCCTCCAGAAGTCATCTTGGAACTATCTGCACAATGGCAATATTTTCCCTTGATGCAAATCAAAAAGGGTGAGGAAATGAAGTAAATGTGGAAAGCATTAGTGAAAGTGACAACTGTGCTCTGCCACTACCCAGTTCTGCAAAATGGAGAATATTTCATACAGCTCTGGAAGATCCTTGGCAGCCAGAAGATGAAGACATTAATGGGGTTGTGTGAGTGAATTGGGCAAGCACAGTGGCTGTGGGGGCTATGCCAATTTGACAGTATACTGTTATGAATACATATTAATATCACTTCATGTGTGCAATCCTGCAATCCTTGAAAAAGGAACCGAATAAAATAGTAATAATGCAATTTTACTTTCATAAATTAACTATTAGCATATAATTTGTCCTTACTGTGCAACTACCCCCATTTTTGCAGGGGCTGCTATCACATTCACTAATATTCCTTTCACAGTCCTTCCCAGTGAACCCCTCTTGGCAAGAACAGGTATAGCTTCCTTGACCTGTGTTCATGCAAGTGGCTCCGTTTTTGCAAGGTTTGTGATGGGTACAATAATTCAGATCTAACAAGAAACAAAACACAGAAGAAAACTATCAGTCAATGAGGCAGATAAGACACTCCAAAGAAGAAACATGAAAAACACAGCAAGACATAATAAGTTGGGCCAAAATGCATGTGTCTGATGGTTTTTTGCTTAGCTATACATGCCTTCACTACTGTTTACTGGGATTTCAGAAAATGCCTAAAATAAACTTGTCTAAGGTTATTACTTCAATTATTTTTACTCTTGAGCTTGACAACAAATATAAACACTTTCCAGGTGTAGGTAAGTAAATAAATAAAGCAAGCAAGCACAAGGAACAGCTTAGTTTGAAGTCTTTATTTTTGCCCAAGATCAAATCCCAGTAGATAAAGAGACAAGGAAATAGAGAGACAAGAAGCAATTAGCATATCCAAGGTGTGGTGGCACCTGGATAGTGCCTTTAATAATGAAAGCAGACAAGCAGAAGTCCATCTGCTGGAGCAAATCTTAACAATAGAGGGGGTCAGTCAAAGCCAACATATCGGGAATAAATGTTTATGTAGCTGCAGGGACGATTTAATTCTGAAATCCTAAACTGAAAAAACTATATAAATACTATAAACACACAAGGAACCACCCTTTACTTCTGTATGTCTTAACTGATTTGCAATATTGGAATTGAAAGATTTTATTTAAAAAAATACTTTTATTAGTATTTTCTTCTTAGTGTTGTCTGATTGGTTGCAACATCTGCTTATTTTTCATAGTGCAAGTAACTTAAGTCACATAAAGCTATCAATGCATGATGCAATGAGGTGGGGTTTTTTTCCAGTCACTTCTCACATAAGCCTGATGTTTATTAGAACCCAGAAGGAATTACTGTTCTAAGGTGACCATCTTAGCTTCCATGCCTGAAGGAGAATTAGAACAGGCATGTCAAACATCTTAAAGTTGTCAGGGTTGGGAAACACTGCCTTAGAAGAATACAGTTCAGCTTTGGAATACACTTTGGTAGAAAATTACAATTGCTAATTAACCCATAACTATGCCCATGGCATGAAAATAAATTTTAAGAAATTATCCATGGTAGAAAAATAACTTTGAGTGTAAATGGAAGGACATATCGATCATCTTAAAAATGTATCTTTTTTTTTAGCTGAGGTCATAGAATCATGCCAAAAGTGTCCTTTTAAAAAGAATCTTAGTAATTCATGTAATAAAATATAACCTCAGCATTTGTTGTATAAAGTTATTTCCTCTTATATAACATGGGTCCTGAGTCTGTTGCTTTTGATGGAAGTTTTTGGCAGAAATGTTGACAACTCAGTTAAGTTCAAAAATTGCACATACAACACACTTAATCTGCTTACAGAATTAGCTACTGCTCTGGGTTCTCCTAATTTGGATATAAATTGTGGGCTACATTCATACCACACATTAAACTACAAAAAATATTCATCAAAGTTAACACTAACCAAGATTAACATGTTATATGAACGCAGCCATTCAATCTTTAATCACTTGGCTAAGGGTGTTATGTAAATACAGCTCAAATAGAATTTTTTGAGGAGAAGAAGAAGAGTCAAGGGAGAAGAGTCAAGGCTGAATGCTCAACATCTCTATTTTAAAGAAAAGGGACAGCTTTGCTCAACTGTTCAAATAATGGAACTTTCCCTTCCTCGCCTCCCTTCAGACAGCAGCAACCCCACATCTGCTTCACAGGACCCCCACTTCCTGGGCATAGCTGGGAGGGCAAGGAAAACTCTAGGTTCCCATCCTATCCTATCCTATCCCATCCCATCCATTACTTAGATCCCATCCAAAATATTTTTAGAAGGGATATTGTTAATAGAGAAAATGAAGAAAGAAGGAACACTTGTCATAACTTTTATCCACTAACCTTGATCACAGAAGAGGCCACCCCAGCCTTCCTCACATAAGCACTTCCCTGGTTTTGTACACGTACCATGACGACAGCCCACATGAGGAATGCATTCATCACAATAGCGGCCCCGCCAACCACTACGACAACTGGAAAGAAATTGAGAAGTTTAAGACCTGTGCAATAAGATTTAGCCCCAAGAAAGACAAAATTTTATGAATGATGAAAGTAGAAGGGGGAAAAAAAGATTGGGGCTTATACTTGAATCTCAGCGCTCAAGTTTAATACTTACATGCATTCTCCCGGATTTCTGCAAAATCCACTTTTCTCTGAACACCCAGCTAAACAGATGGCTGGAAAAAAAAAATCAGATTCAAAACTTCATTCAAGGATGGCTTTAATGCATTTCAAAATATATTTAACCTGTATTCTATTCTTTTCCCTGTGAACTCAATAGAATTTCTCCTTCTCCACTTTTCATTTTTATAACAATTCTGAGAAGTCAGTAGCTAAGTAAGGGTATGATTTGTATCCAGCCCCCCATTTTGCACTAAAATGGAAGTCCCATAGGTGCTTCTCAAAAGGCAACTGGGTTTTCTTGTTTTTTTCCTTGAAAATAGTTCACTTCTCATTCCAAGAAGCTCCTTTGTTCCTGGAATATTACTATGCTGTGCTCAAAATTATGTCCGTCACCACAGAGCCCCCAGATTTGTTCTACATAAAACTGCATATTTACATGCAGATTGTAAATCCTACGCTGCATTTGATTTTTCTGTAAAGATAGCTTCAAAAAACACAGCACCTATATTGCTAGTAAATAAAGAGTTCCTTCAGCCCGCAGAGACCGTATTGTTTTCACAACAAACACAGACTTGATTTCCTCAACCCAGCTAAGTAGAACCTGGTTGTAAACTGTCATATTTCAGCAACAGCCTCTAGCTTTAGAGGACTGGTGAGAACAGGACTGCTCACTTAGACTTTAGCTCTAAATCTAAATGCTTTTAGCAATTAAAGAGAAAATGCCCAAAGTACAACTGCTCATCTTTTGCTATCGTAAAGCTGTGCTCTTGGTTGGGATATTTAGAAACACCCCACATATCTTTCTGTAGCAAGCATCAACCTTCTTAACTGCAATGCAACAGAACATCCTGCGTGACTGAATCCGAATACATTTACTTCTACCTCTGTATCCCCAATGAAACTCCTTTGAGTCTCTCAAAGGTGCTTTTTCAAAAGGCAGCAGGACTTGTTTTTTCCTTGAGGCGGAAGAAGAAAATGTTTCGCTTCTCATCCAAGAAACTTCATCAGTTGTGAAGGTGGGGGATAGCAATAGCAGTAGCACTTAGACAATAGACTTATATTCTTGTGGAAAACGAAAGAACTCTTACGAATTCCAGAGGGGTTTAGCAGAGAGGTTTATTTGTGCAGGTTCAGAGGCATATGGAGACATGCAATTCTGAACAAGGAGGGCGGGATTAAACTTCAGTTTTTATACTATCCTTCTTTTAGGAACAAAGAGACTACACATGGTAATACACTATAATACATTTGGATCGTTTCTCACGGGCATACAATGGAAGGTTTTGCTACATACAAAGTATCCATGTGCAATGCGCATTTGGTTAGCCACATATTACTGGCACAGAACTTTCCCAGTGAATTTTCCCAGTGATTATGCATTACATCATTATTCTAGCACAGTGGTTCTCAACCTTTTTAATACCGTGACCCCAACCGGTCGTAAGTCGAGGACTAAACCAGTCGTAAGTCAAGGACTAAACCAGTCGTAAGTCAAGGACTACCCAGCCGGTTGTAAGTCGAGGACTTTCCCTGCCCGGGAGCGCCGTGCATGCGTGGTTCCGCCCCCTGCGCCGGCCGAGGCGTAGCTGGCAAGCGGCAGAGACGGAGCAGGCCGACCACCAGCTGGCCCAGCCCAAGGGAGGTAAGGCACCCGCCGGAAAAGGGGAAAAAATGGTGGATAAAAAAAAATGGCAGACAGCCTTGCTTGGCGACCCCCGTGAAATGGTCGATCGACCCCAAATGGGGTCCCGATCCACAGGTTGAGAACCACTGTTCTAGCAATTATGCAGACAAATCATTACTCCAGCAATTGTTCATTTTACTACATTAATATGAACTTAGCACTTAAGCAAGAGATGGAAGGATAGGTACTGTCCTTCCAGTACCTAAGGATTGGTCAGTCTCTATCCTTCCATCCCCCACCAGCACAACTGATGAAGCTTCTTGGATGGGAAGCGAAACGTTTTCTTCTTCCTCAAGGGGAAAAAACAGTCCAGTTGCCTTTTGAAAAAGCACCTTTGAGGCAACTGTGCCCTGGATGACCGAGAATCGCCACAGACATGCTTCGAGCCTCCGTTACAGAGGGAAAGTCATTCCCGCGCGCGCTTCCCTCGCGACCAACAGCAAAGCGGGCCGAGGTTTCCCTCTCCCTTCCCCCTCCCCCTCCCGCAAGGCGCGCGCCCTCCGCCCCCTGCACCCGCCGCCGCCGCCGTTATAGACGCGCGCAAACACCAGGGGGAGCTCTTTCTCCTCGCCTGGCGGCTTTCCCGCCTACTACTCACCCGCGAGCTGGGGAGCGGAAAGTTACTCACCCTCCGTACAGTAGTTTCCAGTCCAGCCCGCCATGCAGACGAAGCTGCCGTCAGGTTGGCAAACGTAGTGTCCGAAGTGGTCGTCCCGACTCCTGCAGATGCGAGAGCAGTTGTCTCCGTAGTAGTGCTCGTTGCAGATCACTCGGTAGGAGTAGCTGAGCTTGGCGCGCTGGTTGCTCTGCTCGTCTTGGGACCAGTCCTCGCCCACGGCCAGCGAGCGCTGGATCGCCATTTGGCTGATGAGCCATTTCCGAGCTGGGGTCTCGGAGCCTGCGAAGGATACCGCGGGGTTAAGGCCTTTATACAGACAGTTTTCATCTCTAGGTAACCATGGGTAACCCTTCCAATAGGGTTTCCTTTCCACCAGTTTTCCACTTTCACTCGTACAATTGTTCCAAACTCCTCGGCCCTTCTCCCACACAGATCCCTAGAAGGACATCCGACCAGGAGTATCTTTACCAACTGCATTACAGGCAGCGAGACAGGAGGAAATTATCCCTACATTCTCCACGCTGAGAGCTGCTTCTCTCAGTTAACTTCTACCTGTCGAAGTTAGTTATAGCAACTCTTCCAGTAACAAGTGACATCTTCCTCCAGAATTGCCCCATCAGGCACCCAATGGCTCTGGAGCAGCTTTACTGCTTAGGTGCAGTAGAGCTGCCCTTAAAGAGAGTGCACGCTTCAAGAGCTGGGGAAGGAGGTGTGTGAATCGGTGTTGAAATCTAGCTTGCCCTGCATCCTTCCTCAGACAATAGAAGACAGTGAACCTGCCATCAGCAATGCCAATGCAAACCCATGTTGGCTACAATTCCTTTTGTCCTTTCCCTTGATGAATAACATATGGTGGGACAGCCTTAGTCATATTACATCATCCTGACAATGCTCTCTACTAACACACTCTGTTTTAATTTATTAAAACTATTTCCTAATTATATTTTGCCTCGCCTGCCTTCTCCAGGGACATCTGTAACACTCCCCTACTTTCCAACCAGATTTTATACAACGTGCTCCATCAGTTGATGCCTTCAGGTTTGTTTTAAAAAAAGTTTTCCAAATGGCATATCTAGTATAATTTAAGAGTCTGAAATCCTGGTAATCCAATCCTTGTGATTTCCAAATAAAAAGAATCAACCTGTTTATCCCTGGGAGTTGTGAGAAAATGCTATCATTGTGATTGAATTCCAAGGGTGGGGAAACTCCTTATGGTTCAAGCAAATAGTCTGTAAAATAACATTTCTTGTTCACACAAAAATGTATAAAATTCCTGGTTGCAGTTATTTTATAGAAAGGAATAAAGAGTCCTTTTTTTATAAAAATGTATAAAATTCCTGGTTGCAGTTATTTTATAGAAAGGAATAAAGAGTCCTTTTTTATATATATAAATAAAGCCAGTATTTTAAATTGCCTCTAGTATCCACTTCTCTTGGAGACGCTTTCAAAATAAGAGCTGTGGTGCTGTTGAAATATCCTTTTCCTTTATGTCAGAAAAACATCCCAAAGCCATTATTCCTTTTCCAAAGGGCGGAATTTGAAAAAGGTGTAAAATACAGGAAAAGGCCGTCAGGACTTCTTGGCAGCCTTGTCGTTTTCTCACCAAAGAGCTCCTTTCTTTCCCACGCCAAAAATAAACGGGAGGAAACACAATTGTGTGGAGATTAAGTCGAGGACAAAAAATCAAAGCAAAACTGATCAAGACATAGGGAACACAGCTCTGGCTTGCAAACTTACAGCAAGCACCAAAGGCGATATCCTAAAATTCTACCTGCAGCTCAGATGTATTTATTTAACTTTGGTAACATCTTTCTTGGAACGATTCCAAAAGATTTTAACTATTTTGTGGGAGTTATTTTAAATGTACAGTAAAGTAAGGCAGCACACGGCCTCCCCCTAGCGCCCGCCTAGAGACATGACGGGGTATTCACCTGTTGGATGATAACCTTCAGGAGCATGCCAGGCTTCAATAATCAAGGAGAAAGTTCCCTGTTGGAGGAAAAGAAGCAGTGAGGGAAAGCGGCGAATGGAGGGGATCGGAAAGGGGCCGCAGGGCTTCGGGGAACCCAACAACCGCTTAACAATTTGCAATTCCTCCAACGGCAGGTCCTCTTTCTCTCGCTATCCCTCCACAGCTCCGGGCTGCGGGCTGCGAACGCCATTCCCATTTTTTACATTTGGCTCGGCTTAAACAAGCCAAGCGTTTCTAAATGCTTTTGCAACGTCCGCACGCGACTGCAGCTTTTGGCAGGACGCGCGGGAGCGAAGGCAAGAAGCGTTGCGACGCGCTTTTTGCCCCTGGGCCAGCCGAGCAGCGCCCTCCCCCTTTGGATGCTCCCTCCTCCTCCTCCTCCTCCTCCTCCCCCCGTCCAGGTCTCTCGGAGGTGAGCTCTCACCGGCCAGGTAAAGTTAAACGGCAACTTGATGGGACTGCCGAAGCCCTCCGTCTCTCTGACGGCGAAAGAGTTGGTTCCCAGCACCGGGGTGGTGAGGCTCCCGAAGGTGCACACGCCCGGGGAGATGACCGCCTGAAAGTGCTTCAAGCAAACCCGAAAGAAGGTCCTGCAGCCGGCCGCGCACGGCTCTCCGCTGGCCAGGAAACCCTGCCCGTTGACGAACTCGCGCAGCTCCAGCTGGAAGACGCCGGAGCCGCAGACCCGCTGCACAAAGAGGAGAGAGAGAGACACAGAATAGCCCGGTCAGAGCTTTTTTTCCCCCGCCGGCCGAGCCTTCGCGCTTCCCCCCACCCCCGGCCTCGGGCTATTACCTGCAGCGGGAGCGCCAGAGCTAGCGCGAAGCCCAGGAGACGCAAGGCGGCCATCCTTCTCGGCTGGTGCTGGCGGGGGCCGGCGGCGTCCACCTTCTCCTCCTGCGGGGCGGGTTGAGCCGGACCTGGCGGCCTCGCCTTGTATTCCTCGGGGGGGGGGGGACCGCGGGGACGCGCCTCTGGCCCCAAAGTCGTCGCCCTTCGCGGGTCGCCCCGTGCAGCGGCTCTGCCTTCCGAACACGCCCTCAAACTCCGCAGAGGAGGGTCGTCGGGGTATAATCCAGCTCTCGAAGCCAGCCGCGGAGGACAAGATCCAGCCGCGCGGTCCCACGACCGGCCGCCTTGCGATACACTCCAGAGGCGGGCGAGAGGCGAGGCGGTGGGAGTCCCTCGGGCGGGCGGGCGGGCGGGGGGGAGGGCCGCGGCGTGCTGGTAGCTCCTCTTTCCCGGGCCTCGCTCAGCAAGTAGGCAACTCGCTTCCTTTCAGCTGCCTATATAGCTGTGCAAGCTCATTATGTAAACTGCCAGTCAGACTCCGGAGATCCCTCCCACTTTTCATCTTTCTGGAATGGGAGGCAAGTGTGGCCTCGAGCCCGCAGAGCCAGAAGGCCCGGGGGGTGGTGGTGGTGGCTAGTGGACTCAAACACCCCGCCCCCCCCGCGAGGAACCCAGCTGATCGTTCGCCAGCCCAGCCTTCCTGGGCTTGCTCCTCTTGAGACTGGCCACCCAGGGAAGGAGGGAGGGAGGGAAGGAGGCAAGACCGACCAAGGGCAGAGATGGAGGGGGGAAGGAGGGAAGCATGGGTTAATGAGGTCTTGCCTATTCCCATTCCGTCGGGAATGGGATACATTTGGGAACCCTAGCGCGCCTCCACAAGATCCGCGCGCCCCTGCCAGTAGGTGCAGCGCCTGCGCCCAACAGCCCTGCTAGGAGAAACTAAGCGGGTTCCTGAGAAACTGAAAGGGCGGTTTATTGACGGCTTTCGCTCCCTCGACGATTCTGCGAGGAAGACGCCCTTACCTGCCCTGCACGCCTTGGCCGTAACTCCTGCCGGGGCTTCCTAGTCTCAGCAGCTCGACGCTGCTGGACGCGAAAGGTGCTCTGCAACTGCGCCTTCTTCTCTCCGGGTGGAAATTGGCAAACGGAGCGAGGCTTGTCCTGCAAGCGCTCGGCAGCCCTTCCGAAGCGTTTGAGGGAGGAGCGGGGTGGGGTGGGTTGGGGTGGGGAGAGAAGTTCACTGCCGCTTCCAAAGCCACCTTCCCTGGCGTGGGAAGCTCATCCCCACCCCCCAGGCCTCGACAACTGGCAAGAAAAAGAGCAGGTGAAACCCGACGGCTTGGCTTCCTTGGGAGGGAAGAAGCCACGGATGGGCGCCCGCCCCAGGAGGCAGCAGCATCCCCGCCACCCTTCGCCCCTCTCTTGGGTGGAAACAACAGGATGAGGCTGAGCCCGGAGCCCTCCCTCTGGCTCGTGCGAAACCGACCTGGGAGGCTCAGCCCCGTCTCCAGGCTGCAGGCTGCTGCCTGCCACTAAAGCCCCTTGGTCTGCTTGCAATGTGTGCTTATTGTTGAGTCGCGTGTCCCTCATTAAAGCCAAGCACAGAGAAGGCCTTTCATGTGGCTTTTATTTCAGCTTGTTGTTAAATAGGGAGGGGGTGGGGAACAGAGAAGATAAACCTTCAGCTGTATGATAATGAGGCTTTGTCACCTTTCTGCCAGCCCCGTTCAGAAGGTTCACCGGGCCCTTCCTAGTGAAAAATAAGTGAAATAACCAGTTGGCGCGTTCTTTCTTTAGCCCGCGTTGCTTGATTGGCAAACAACCTTGAGAAAATACCCTTTTTCTATTTCGAGTCGAGCAAACCCAAACGGGCATGTTGGACGCCTGCCTTCAGCCGGGAGAGACCCTCCCAGTCGCTGCGCTCTTAAGAGCGGAGCCCGGCAACTTTGGGGAGGAATGATCGCGCCGCAACCCCTGGGAGAACCAAGGGCAAAATGCTGGATGTGGTGGGCATCCGGGATGGATAAAATTCGGGCATCCCAGATGGCTGCTGGTAGAGGAGGCGGAATCACTCCCCTGAAATGTTGTCAATTTCTGCCGATCTTACGCGCCTCTGAAGGATATATATTTTTTAAAAGCCTTGTCTACGAATTGCTGAACGCCCGCCGAAGGAGTGGCGTTGCAGAGTGAGATGGGTGGGATATAAATTTAATAAACAAAAAAGCATTGTAATCCAACGGCAGGCAGCGCCGCGCTTTGCAAGGATTTGGTCCCTTGCTGTGATTTTCTGTAATGCAGGGATTCCCCGCTTCCACCTGTCCACGGAGTACGTGGCCCCCTTTATCTTTAAACGCCCGGGACGACTACCTTACCTAACACTTCTCCCTCCCTCCGCCGCTCTGTTCCTTCCAATTCTCTGGGATAACACCTGGCCAAGCGACCTGGCCTTTGGGGGGAAAAGGTGGGGAGGGGAGGGGGAGGGGAAGGGAGGAGGGGAGAGATGCACATGAACTTGATCTAATCGCGGGTTTAAAAGAAAAAAAAACAAAAAAACACCCGAGAGCTACCCAGAAAACCGTTGCCAAGGTCCTGGGAGGAAAACCAACGCCATTGACCGTTTCGGAGCCTTCTTCTAGGGGAGAAATAGCTGGAAAGGAGTAAAGGCTTGTGGAAAAAGGGGGTCGTCCGACGTAGGGCAGGCAGAGAACCGCTGTTGCTTTGCTAGCCTCCCTCCCCCTCTTCCTCCTCCTCCTCCTCCTCCTCCTCCTCAGCTGTCAAAACTGATGCGAAGAGCTCCGGCACTAAATAAAACGAGAGGCCAGATAGCATCAGTGCTGATAAATGGTAATGAGTTTCTAGCCTAAGGGAACAGAAGGGGCGGTGGAGCTCTTTAATTCATGATTGAAAGGCTAGCCGGGCACGATGGAGGGCTCGAACAGATGTTAGTATGTGTGCGTTTTGATTTTTTGACTTGTCTCGGAGGTTTATTAGGCTAACCGGAGCCACCTCGCGCGGCCACTTGGCCCAGGCGCCATCTGGCACAAGCTGGGCGGCATGCGGGACCAGGAGCAGGAGCAGGAGCCGGGCATCGCCTGGGCGCTGCAGATCCACAGGCAGCATCTACCATATGGACTCTGCTCTGTTCCTCTCGGGCTAATGTAGGTTACAGCCAGAGCCCCTTTCGCCCCTCGGCCAGCCCTTCCTCCAACCTGCAACCAGGTCCCGCAGGTAGAATCCCACCTGGCGTTTCCGCGCGCTTTCCTGCGCGCCCTCGATCAAAATATTACGGGAGTGGGCAGCGCCCAACTGAAGCCAAGCCCTCCTTTCCCGTGCACTCCGGGGGGGATCACCGTGCCTTTTTTTTTCTTCTTTCGGACCCCCCCTTTTCGCTTGGTTTTCTCTCTCTCCTGCCCTTCCCTCTCCCCCCCCCCCCCCCCCCCCCCCCCCCCCCCCCCCCCCCGGCTGCCCCAGAATGACTTGTGGCAGCACGGCAGGCGCGCATCCCTCCTCTTCCTGGTAGTAATAAGCAGATGTGAGATCTTCTTGAAAGTCGCGGGCATATATTGTTGCGATTGTAGCTATTAAGGCGGCTGCAGTAAAATAATAAACAAGAAGCAGAATGGACCATCTGTTTTGTGTTTGCGAAGGGAAAAAAAAAGAAAAGAAAGAGAGACAGAGAGAGAGACAGAAAATGCAACACAGGGCAGCTGCCGGATTTGAAAGTTTTGCAGGAGTCCCCTTTCCGCATCTCTGTCTCTTTACCTGGATGTTTGTGATCAACCGTATGGGATGCACCGTGTACTATAGCTTCGGCCATTTTGATGAATTTGATATACTAGGAAAGATTTTAGGAATTGTAAGAAAGCAATACTGCCCATAGTTAATGGTTCTAGTCAAGTGTTTGCATGTCCTTCCAACTATTGGCAGTGACAGCGCTAAGAACTGAAAATATTCCAAGAAATCATTAATATCCTGACTCACTCTGTGAAATGAGCATCAAACAACTATTAAAAGAAATAGACTGGTCTGAAAGCTACACAGTTGTGTTTTACTTTACCATTAACATTTATTTCACTCTCAACTGAAAGATTTAATAGTTGATACAGGCTTCAATCCCACATTCATTAAATTTATTGAAGTTTAATAACTCCATTGCAGAACACACATCTGGTAGAGCCACCCAGGTACTTCTGATTCTGCAACCAGAGTTCTTAACAGAGGCTAGAAATATGTCTGGACATTGTGTACATTTAGTGAAATATACACAATGGCCAGAGATATTTAACAGACCTATAGCGTTTACATGTACGTTATATTTGCAAATATATACATAACTACATATAAACAACTATTCTGAAGTGGGGGAGGGATTTCTCTGCTCTTGGATTATATATCTATAACACAATGTTTAAAAGATATTCCTTTCAGTGAGAGAACAGTTTCCCCCCCTGCTTTTTTCCTTTATTTTATACAAGTTCCTTTAAATGTGTGCTCCCTTCATTAAGGAAATTGCAATTATCACAATACTTTGAAACCATGAATGCATCTGATTAGTTGCTATCATAAACATTGCAATCCCTGTCATATCTTTATAGTGTCCACTCAACATAGTGGGGTTTCATTGGATTTGCATCCGAGTATATGGTAGCAATCTTAATTTTAAAATAGTTTCTAGCACCATGACTGACTAGCCTGGGATAGTAAAAGTGAATAAAGAGTAGATCCAATACTTAGCATTCCTTTAGAACCTTTTATTTGAGGAATGTTTAATTTGGATTAAGTTTGCCTGTTTGAGTCATTCTGTCTATTGCGTTCTGTTAGGACTAGTTTTCTAAAATTTTGACAGGGTTTTAGTATATTTTTTAAAAGAAATCTCAAAATTTAATATATTGGTGAATTTGATATCCTAGGAAAGATTTTAGGAATTGTAAGAAAGCAATACTGCCCATAGTTAATGGTTCTAGTCAAGTGTTTGCATGTCCTTCCAACTATTGGCAGTGACAGCGCTAAGAACTGAAAATATTCCAAGAAATCATTAATATCCTGACTCACTCTGT